TTGGGCATTGGATTGTTTGGGCTGTGGTAGCATGAACGGTGTTTGCTTGGGTATGAATTTTTTGCTGGTGAATGCCTGACTGTGACTGTTTGGAACATTTCCGATGCAAATTTTAATTACCGATATGTGATATACATTTATCACATGACAAAAAAATGAGGCAAATTTGGCAAAAATTTGCGATTTTTTTAAAATTTTAAGCTCAAAAATTGAATATGAAAGGGAAAATTCAAAAATTTTAAATTTAAATAACTTCCGTTTACGTTTTTCTCGGATAGAGAAGTAAATAGAAGTGATTTAAATGAGGTGTTTTTTGAGTTTTTTGAATACCCTATTTTCCTACGTTTGTGATGGCATGCATTACCAGTGCACAATCATGAGTGGGAATGGTAGAAAAAAAAAAGATTTTTGAGGCAAAAAAAATTTTTTTCATAATTTTTTTGTAAAAAATTTAAAATTTTTTTTTACTCTCCTTCCTGGGAAATGTTCTGAATGTTTGCATGTTGTTTCTTTTTCTTGTTATGAATGCATTTTTTTGAGTTAAAATTTATGAAAATCAAAAGAAAATTTATTCCTGTGATTTCTTTTTTTGCAAAATGCATAAATTTAATTTCTTTTCCACTTTTGGAAAAAGAAATTAATTCAAATTCAGCACTGTTTATATGTTATGCACACTTTTTAATATATGCTAGAACAGCACAGTTGGCACGGTACTGAATTTGAGTTTGAGGATTCAAAAATTCAAATTTGAGGACTTAAAAAATGAGGGTCACTTAGTAAGATCTGTTGGTCTTTTTCGGCTTTAAAAAAGAATTTTCGGCTTTTTGAAAAAAAAAATACCAGAATTTCCATTGGATTGAGACAAATTTTGAACTTCTTGGTACCGTCGCTACTGCTGTTGTCTTTACTCGAACTTGAATGTCCATACTTGGATGTCCAGTTATCTTGACCAGTGTTAGGTGAACTTTGATGTCCATTTTAGTCTTCTGAAGGGATTATTCGCTCAACGATTTCCTCGCTAGAAGCATTTGGCGGCGCTTTATTTTTTCTTTTTTTTTTTGTTTTTTTTTTTGTCTTTTTTTTTGAGTAAAACTCTACGCTCCTATCGATAGAAGCATTTGATGATGCTTTGGGGGTCTTTGCTTTTTTTTAA